ATTTCAAATGTTTTCCTGGAAGGAGCCGCCCTCTCACCTTTTGACCTAAAGTATATGATGCTCGGAAAATAGTACGTGAACATTAGTGATGTCAGTGCTTCCGTATGTGGGATCGTCCGGTTGTTGAGAGTGTCTTTTGTGCTTGGCACGCCTGTGGGTACTTTGCATGCGCAATTTCATTGAGTCTTCCCAGAAATGCTAGAGATGGACACAGAGGGTACTGCTTATCCTCATTTTATGATCAGAATGACTGAGAATAGGTAACTTCCCCGGTGTCACAGGACAAGCAGTCAGAGCCAGTGTTCCAGCCAGACCTGGCTGACACCATCTTGCTCCGATAGCCATTTTAAATTACACGCATGACTTGTCCACTTTATAAATTATTGGTAGAACTCTTTTACCTTTGAAGCAGCTTTTTTCTGACTTCTGATCTTTTTGAAACTTTTCTGTGCTCACAACCAACAGACATGTAGCAACGTAGAAAATCTGGAAAACCTTAGCAGTAGCAATAAATGCATTTTTCAGTAGAAAACTATCTTCAGAATGGCATTGGGGGGTAGCAATCAAATTCTGGTTAGTTATTTTTATGCTTCGTTAAGATATCCAACCAAAGGGACCACCTGGTACAGTCCGCATGACTGCAAGATGTGGATTCCAGCATGCCTCCCTCATGCACCTAGTACACAGGCCTGGCTGAACGATTATGCTACTAATCTCAGCTGTAATACAGGGCGCAGGCTGCCAGCTCTGTTACTAATTAACATTAATGGATTTTTGCCCTGGTGCAGGGCTTGCTTCAATGTAAATTCTTTTGTAAAAGACATATAAATGAGAAGAGGAAGATTCTTCTGTTATCTTTATAGATATATTATGATCAAGTTGCTTTGAGGATTCTCTACATCTTTGGCCCCAAACTTTGGGAGCTGGTATATTTGTTCCAGAAGCTAAAGCTGCTTGTGAGAAATGTTTTCACTTTTGTAATTTGTCAGAATCTAGGATTTCTTAACAGCACGTTTAAATAACCAGAGCATTCGCATGGCTTTGGGTTGGGATCATAGCAGTATCTTGGCTCCTTTAGTAAGTAAACTTGATGACAGCATGGATAAGATCTAGCAATAGGAGGCCTGCTTGGTGATATGTGCTTTATCCTCATGACCTTAAAATAATCACACCCCTAGTTCTTATTGGCCAGTTAACATTGGCCTGAATCACAGGGTCTTTCAAAAGGTATTTACATGTGATTAGAAAAAAATCTTTCTAGTCCTATCAAATCATTCCTTCTTATACTTTCAGCTCCCAATCCCTAAGCTAATGAAAAATCTTAGAAATTTGGACTATTTGAAAGATAAAAGATGTATTAGTGGAAAATACAGAATACTTACAATAATAGTTTTATAGTTTAAAGCTTACATAGTATCTTGGGAACTGAGGCTACAGAAAATTTAAACTACAAGCCATACAATTATTTTACAGTTGATTCATGTATTTTAATAGTGTTTATCTTTCTGAGATTTGAGGTGAAGGATGGATGGTTTAAAAACCATCAACTACTGCAGCTCTCTAGAAATCATATCATTACTATTGTTGTCAGGGAAGATCTGAGTAAACATTGAAATTTAGGTATTTTACCTGGCAATAATCTACCTTTCCTGCTTTACCAAAATTTAGGTAGAGAAGCTGGTGAGTCCAATCATAACCTGCCTGAGAAGAAAACAATAGATAGAATATATTCCCACCATCAGATCTTGTGTCGAGTGAGAGAAAATAGATGGGCCACATGGAAGGCCTATCAGCCTGTGCAGATAGAAGGCTGCTGAGATAGAAAGGACTTTCACGGTTTTGGCACCGTTTTTGTGTTTAGAAAAATAACAGGGAAAGCCTGTCTGAGAGTCTATAGGTATTACACTTCAGGAAATGTATTCTTCCATCAATAACCTAAAGGATGAAAATCCTGAAAGAGGCTAGACACTGAAACTCAGTAACTAGGAATCCTCCCTACCCACACCCTACAATTTACGAGTAGTTAACATGACTTGACCACTGATGTGTCAAATGTGATAATGGTTTCCCATGGTGGACTGTGTTTGGTGATGCTCTGCGATTACAACAAGCTTGGAAGCAGGAGTGGCATCCACTTCTGAAATAGCTTGCCTCTGGAAACTGTATAAACTTTGAGAAATGATGAAAGTTACACAAGTGTTCAGGTCTTTTGTTCATAGGGCCGCTGTGAGTGGTCTGTGACTCAATGGCATGTAATAACAACAAGAACAACATAAATGCTAGCTGTGTGTGACTTTATATAAGTTATTTACTGTCTTAGTCTGAGCTCTCATGTATGAAATGAGGGCATAGATAATACCAACTCTGAACGAGTATTACAGATTAGAGGAGATGAGTCTAAATCATTAGTCCAGTGACAGTTCTATAATCATTCATTGACCTCATGTCTCCACTTGTGCCGTAGGGACCTGAAGGGGTAGTTAGTCTTCACAGCCCTTCCCATCCTGTGTTTCTAGTTCTAGGTGTGGGTATTCTAACCAAATACCTGTATAGAAAGAAGCTTACCCTCTGTCTCCAACTTTCAATCCATTATAGTTTTGTAATTAAATAAATGATACACATGTGTTATTGGGATTTTGAGTTACAGTAGTTGAGAACCATTAGAAAATCTACCTAGGGCATTTTGGAGTTCTCTAATACTCCATTCTCTCTCAGTGGTATAGAATTGATAAAAGTGAAAGTCATTTTTACAAAGTATCGCTTCCTAAATTATTTTTGAAGGGGGCACCACGATACACAGATATTTCTGGCTGGTTGTTTTTGCTCTTCTGGGTGATGGTGTGAAATCTTTCCAGAATGCAGCACAGAGGGGGTTTGCCAGGGTAGGAGGAGCTAGAACCAGTGTCCCCATTGCTTCCAACATGTCCTCAAGACCTCCTTGTTTTTTCACCAAGTTTGTGTTTAAATTCTTATTTAATATGTCTAATCATCTGAGTACTCAATCGTGGAACCACCTTGCACTTGCCTTTTTTCTGAACCCTGCAGGTTGAGCTTTAAGAATTCGTCTCATACCTATTTCAGAGTCAAAAGTGTTTTACTTTTTAAAGAAACGTAATTTCTGAACCATTAATAGAGATGCCATTATTCTTTTAGAAACCATAATAGTGAAAGAGAAGCAGAATACATAGTCTCCTGGGCAACATTTGTTTCCTAAGATACTTAGAGTGTTGCCTGTTCTCTCAAATGTCTTTATTGCAGTTGTTGAAATGTCAAGATTCTAACTGATGACCCATGGTTCCTAATGCTCATTACCCAGGCTGGACTGCAGTCCCTTCTTGCCTGGGAATATACATGAGAAACAATCTTCAGTGTTTTGGGTTATTAATGTGAAATCCTGCTGACTTTCTGTGTTTCAGAAACATTGTGGTAGAACACATGTATTTGTATCATCTATATAAATAGAGTTAGTGATTGCCAATTTTTAGAAATGATCACTTTTAGGATTATTTATATTTAATATGCAGTCAGTATCTTTTAATCTTAAAAATTAAACTCTTCTGGCCTACAGGTGTTATCCCAGATCCCAGATGGGGAGAATAGCATCAACTCCTTTTCTTTTTTCCTTTTCACTGTATATGAGGCATCTTGGAAATTAGAATATGCCTGCATTCAGCTGTGAGCCCTCTCCATCATGAACTCTGTGTTGCAGGCGACTCGACGGCACATAACAACAACAACAACAATGCTTTATAATAGCAGTATTAGTACCCTGACTTGATAGTCTACCTGGCCTCTGAATTATATTATCATATTTTAGCCTTGCAACATCCTTGTCAGGGAAGGATGGCTTGAATATTCTTATGTCCATAATGAAGATGGGAAACTGAAGTTGTTATGGACAGATTAAATTATTTCTTCAAGGTCATATGGTGTCAGTGGCAGAAATAGACCTGACTCTGGGTCATGCCTGTCAGCTGGGTTTATCTACCAAGTCAGAAGGAAAATTCTTGCACGATTGGTGCAGTCACCAGGGTCTTAAGGGTATTTTGGTATCACCGTGAGTCAGAAACAACTTGACAACTGACAGCTTGTTTTACAATTAACCTCTTTATTTTAGAATAGTTTTAGATTTATAGATAAATTGCACATGTAGTAAGTAGAGTTCCCATATATGTAACACCATTTTCCCTTCTTGTTAACAACACCCAGTGTTGGCATGGTACATTTGTCACAGCTAAAGAAACAATATTGATTCATTATTATTAGCTAAAGTGCGTAGTTTATTCAGATTTCTTTAGTCTTTACCTAATATCCTCTTTATATGTACCAGTGCTGTGGAGTGGGTGAATATTTATGTAAACAATTTTTAATGCTTCTCTGTGGGAGAGTTGCCAACTTCTCTTTTCAACCCAGCAGATATTGCTCTACCATTCTTTTCTTGTGTCTGCCAAATATTGTGAAATTTTGGCAGGCCGTGATGGAAACCAAACAAAGAGAGGTAACTGTTCCCACCAGTTAAGAGTTCATTGAAATAGAGGCAGAAGCTACCTTCCTGTTATTGGAGAGGGGGACCAAAAGAGAGTCAGTTACTCCCAGGTGCTTACGTATCCTTTCGAGAGCCTGTGAAGTTTATTGACAGGTGCAGGGAGGGATTGCTATGGTAATGAAGTAACAAGCACGAACTTCAATACAGGACAAAATTTACAAAAAGGACAACAAAACCTAGGAATTTAGGAAAAATGGAGCTAAAAACTATTCTGATGAGATACCCAGCATCTCTTGGCTATGAAACCGTCTCTCACCTCCTAGATTATATATACCCGCCCGGTGTCTTTCATTTAATCTTAATGTCAAAATGAAGAGGGTGATTAACAGATGTTTCTCTTGTTCTTTCTTCCTAAGTCTTTGAAATTGAGGAAGTTCTGAAAAATAGAGGAATCTACCTGCTTCTTATAGACCAGCCTGGCTTACAGACCATGTTTTTCCTTCTGTTTTCACAGAACTCTATCCGGCACAACCTATCACTCCACAGCCGGTTCATGCGGGTCCAGAATGAGGGCACCGGCAAAAGTTCTTGGTGGATCATCAACCCTGATGGGGGGAAGAGTGGGAAGGCCCCCCGGCGGCGAGCGGTCTCCATGGACAACAGCAACAAATACACCAAAAGTCGTGGCCGTGCAGCCAAGAAGAAGGCAGCCCTGCAGACGGCGCCTGAGTCAGCAGATGACAGTCCTTCCCAGCTCTCCAAGTGGCCTGGCAGCCCCACCTCACGCAGCAGCGATGAACTGGATGCATGGACGGACTTCCGCTCTCGCACCAATTCCAATGCCAGCACGGTCAGCGGCCGCCTGTCACCCATCCTGGCCAGCACAGAGTTGGATGACGTCCAGGACGATGATGCGCCTCTCTCCCCCATGCTCTACAGCAGCTCAGCTAGCCTATCTCCCTCCGTAAGCAAGCCGTGCACCGTCGAGCTGCCAAGGCTGACCGACATGGCAGGCACCATGAATCTGAATGATGGGCTGACTGACAACCTCATGGATGACCTGCTGGACAACATCACACTCCCATCATCCCAGCCGTCGCCTACTGGGGGGCTCATGCAGCAAAACTCCAGCTTTCCATATACCACCAAGGGCTCAGGCCTGGGCTCTCCAACCAGCTCCTTTAACAGCACGGTATTCGGACCTTCGTCTCTGAATTCCCTACGCCAGTCTCCCATGCAAACCATCCAAGAGAACAAGCCAGCCACTTTCTCTTCCATGTCACACTATGGCAACCAGACACTTCAGGACCTGCTTACTTCAGACTCGCTCAGCCACAGTGATGTCATGATGACCCAGTCAGACCCCTTGATGTCTCAGGCCAGCACTGCTGTGTCTGCCCAGAACTCGCGCCGGAATGTGATGCTTCGCAATGACCCAATGATGTCATTTGCTGCCCAGCCCAACCAGGGGAGTTTGGTTAATCAGAACTTGCTCCACCACCAGCACCAAGCCCAGGGCGCTCTTGGTGGCAGCCGTGCCTTGTCGAATTCTGTCAGCAGCATGGGCTTGAGTGACTCCAGCAACCTTGGGTCAGCCAAACACCAGCAGCAGTCTCCTGTCAGCCAGTCTATGCAAACCCTCTCAGACTCCCTCTCAGGCTCCTCCTTGTACTCAACTAGTGCAAACCTTCCTGTTATGGGCCATGAGAAGTTCCCCAGTGACTTGGACCTGGATATGTTCAACGGGAGCTTGGAATGTGACATGGAGTCCATTATCCGTAGCGAACTCATGGATGCGGACGGGTTGGATTTTAACTTTGACTCCCTCATCTCCACACAGAACGTTGTTGGTTTGAACGTGGGGAACTTCACTGGTGCTAAGCAGGCCTCATCTCAGAGCTGGGTGCCAGGCTGAAGGATCACTGAGGAAAGGGGAAGTGGGCAAAGCAGGTCAGTGCCCACCTCTACAGCATAATAAGAAAATGGGGATGGTATTGGGAGCGTTGTGTGTCTGTTGGGCAGAGGGATAGCCTTCTTTTACAGATAGTCCCTAGGTTGCATTTATCTACAACATCCACATCCAGTGAGCAACCCCTGCTTGCCCTTCAGTGTTAGCATAAATTTACCCTATCTTTGAAGCGATTGACCAAGCCCCTACTCCCAGCAAATTCCTCATCACAGCTACTGCTATTTGCTTCACAAGCTACTTTTAAATCACTGAAAAAGCCTAAATAAGAACCTTATGCACCTGTTCACCTGCAGAGTCAACCTAAAAGCACAGTTAGGAAAAGATCCCATTCCTAGCTCCAAGGCTGCTCATACTTTGACCCTTGTCCCATCCCTGGAAGTTAAGAACCATGGAGAACAGTGGCTCTCAGAGCAGTTAATCTCAGAGCTGTGCCTACAAACCAAGCAGTGCTACCAGGTGCCCTCCCTAAAGTTGGCTGACAGCTCAAGAAATGTACTGCCAGTGAAAAGAACACACTTTTCATTCTTCTTTATCACCAGTCATCCTTACTGACCTTTGACATGGGTCTCTCTACTTGATAGGTGGGTAAGGAAGGAAAAGAGAACTTACATCCCACAGATCTCAAGGCTGAGGACTCCAGAACTGTTTTAGATCACCTTGTCAGTCTTAAGTGTAAAGTTTTTTTTCATCATTTTTTCAGTAAAGCAGTAATTTGCAGCAGACCTTTCTGATTAGATATTCTAAACTCTTTGATATGGGAGTATTTTCACCAGAAGCAAGATCTTTTATTCTTTATTATAGTGCTAAACATCTCTATTAGTTAGGATGTGGGATATGAGCATTTAAAACTGCTAAGTTGAAAACAAGTTTTTATTCAAGCAAGTACTCCCTCATGTTCCCTAACCTTTTAATGATGTCAGATTCCAAACACAGGGTGAGATGGAATGTGAAAGTTGACAGTGATGAATGTGGTGGCACTGATAGGATCAGAAAGGGAGCTCTGGGGGTTAAGAAGCCGGTAAGAAGCTGTGCTACAGTCCCAAAGGCATGCAGTTCAAATCACTAGCTGCTCCACGGGAGAAGGATGGGCAGTCTCCTCTCATGTGATTAATTGTCTCTGAAAAGCCACTGGAGGGTCAGCTATGTGTCAGTTCTGATTCAACAGCTTACAGTAACAACGGGGCCAGAAAATTGGGCAATGTGATGTGGTAAGAAAAGTATTTGTTTGGAATCGAGAATTGAGGGTTCCTTCTCGCATCTATCACTTCCTGACTGTTACTTAGCCTTTGAGCCTCATTTCTAGTTTTATAAAATGAGTATATTTTATAAATGAATCCCTGTTACTTTGCTGGGTTATTGTTAGAATCCAAAGCATGGGAAAAGGGCTGTGTAAAACTGTAGTGGGATAAAGTAGACATTCTGTAATAAGGTAGACAGACTTACCTGACTTATGAGCAAACAGGGGAACCCAGAGAGGTCATGTAGTTTGCCTAAAAGGTCATACAGCTGAACTCAAAATCCATATTTCTTGATTGGTTTGAATGAACCATAATACATCATTAATACAGCATTTGTAGCCAAGATTTCTCTGAAATATTTCAAGAACTAATAAGAACTTTGGTATCTTTGACGGAGAGGTTTGTACTTCCCAGACACCCTCATATTAAAAGATTCTTTCTGTGTATCAGCCCATTTTTATTTTGGTTTCTTTTTCATCCCAGCAGGTTGCTTATACTCTTCTTTAAATGATGTGTAAAAAGAGAGCGAGAAATGGAATTCAAACCATAAAAAAAACCTGAGCTTTGTTTAACCCTCTCCTCCAAGGGTCTCCTGTGGTGCACTCACTCCAGCTCAAGGGCTGTAGAAAGGGCAGTGTAGAGAGGGCAGTAATGTTAAAGCATCTCAGCTTTCCCAGGCACAAGAAGGCCCCTAATGGAACTCAGACATCTGCTTCCAGTCATTTAATAGCTCTTGAGATGGTAAAAGGACTGTAATGGGAGCTAAATAAGGTGACAATACTCCTGGACTCCTGGAGACTTGCCTTGAGAAATTTAGATACTTGATTTTTAAAAGAATAAAAGTCCTTGAAAGAGACTCTGGCTTCCCAAAAATACAAGAAAATTTTCATTTTTTTGTGGTTTCAAGGAGGCTACTTTCTTGAGAAGAATGAGTTCAGAAGAAAATACAGTACCAGTATTTGGTATTTCAAGTGTAGCTTTTTCTCTTTGTTGAATAGACCACATTTGTGCATACGAAATTCTAAAAGATTGTACAGTAATCTTTAAAAAAACCCACCTCAAATGCATCGCTGTCATGCTGGAATGGATTCATAGCTGACCCTCCAGTAGATTTTCAGAAGCTGCAAATTGTATGGGAGGAGCTTGCCCATCCTTCACCAGAGAAGCAGCTGGTAGATTCAAACCACCTGCCTTGGGCTTGGCAACATAATTCTTTAGCCATTAGGCTCCTTTTCATAATCTTAAGAAAGGCTTAATTGTCTAGATTTGTATGTTGAGGGAGGCTTAAATGCCTTTTTTTAAAATTTATTTGATAAATTGTACTTTTGACAATGAAGAATAACTCCCTTTGGGATAATTTTGATTATTAAGTGCTAAATAGAATCTTAGGGTCATTCATTTTCTTCATTTGGGGAGAGGTTGTTTGGAGAAGTTACTTATTCAGTTAGAAATAAAAATCTCATTTTCCTAAAAGTTAACGTCCACTGAGAAGAAAATTTCTCAGGACAATAGGGAACTTTAAGGGAGTCTGGATTCTGAGTTTTGAATATTCATTTTGCCTTGGAATGTTCCCCCAAACCATTTAAGAGCTCATAAGGGCTGAATTATATCCTTGACTCTTAAACTTTTTTATTTTTATTTTTTTACTCTTAAACTTTGAGCCATCAATTTATTGAAGATTCTTCTCAATTCACAAAACAGAGCTGCCTGGCATCAATATTTTTGACTACACTTCTCTCCAAAATTAAGCATTTCATCTTCCTAAGAGTTACAATGTAATTCTTTTATTGGCTTGCCTTTAAGAAGAAAACCAAACAACCAGTTATCATATTTCTCTAGACTTCAGATTTGCTCTTTGGAGGCCATATGACTTTGGATATAATCCCTCTGGTTTTGGAGCTAATGGAGCATTGTGTCCAGTAGATAGCCCTGTCTGAGAGCTCTTGTGAGGTGCAGCTCTGGAGGGCTAGGTGTTTCTCACGTGGCATGCCTACAGGCCGTGTGTGAGATCCTTTGACCTATGAGTCTATCTGGAGAAGGAAGAACTCATCATATCTGTATATGAATGCTATCTGCTGAGACGTGAAGGGCTCTGTTGTCTTTGAGACACTCTTTAAGTTTGGCACTCATACTTGGAAATTAGCAGCAGAACTAGCCAGTGTGATTAGTAACTGCAAAGCCAAGCTTCCAATAAGCCCCTTATAGAAGGTCACTTGGACCTCTGGTGGCCTAGCGGGTAAGGAGCTTCACTGCCATCCCAAAGCCACACAAGTTGAATCCACCAGCTGCTTTGCAGGGGAAACACGGGTGGTGTCATGAGTCAGAATTGTTGTGATGGCAACAGATTTTTTTAAATTCTGTTTGACATAAGGAATGCTGGTGGCACAGTGGCTATGTGCTTTGCTGCTAACTGGAAATTTGGGATTCAAATCCACCAGCTGCTCTGTGAGAGAAAGATGTGGCATTCTGTAAAGATTACAGTCATGGAAACTGTATGAGAGAAAACTTCTCTGTTCTTCAGGGTCACTGTATATAAATTGGAATTTACTGGACAACACTGGGTTTAAGTTTGGTCATCTTCCTAAGGAAAAGTAGCTTCAGTCTCCCCATCGTTTTGATGTGCAAAAACCAAACCGACACAACAACCCTGTAGGGAAGAGTAGAATTGTTTCTATGGAGTTTCTGAGGCCAGAAATCTTTACAGGAGCAGACTGTCTTTGTCTGCAGGAGCAGCTGCTAAGGTCAAACCACTGACCTAGATAGAGGTTAGCAATCAAGCTTTTTAGCCACTGCATCACCAGGACTAGAAAAAATGACTGAATGTGTAAGCTCCTTGGACAGCTCATCAGGGAGTAACCCAGTCTTAAGCATTGTGTTTGAACCACTTTATGAAAGGATTCAAAAACGTCCACCAGGAAAAGCCCGGATGAAGAGGGGTGAGATAGTTCTCTTCCTGTTTCTGCACTGTCTGCATCTGTGAGCTCAAGGTTGTCACTGATGAATCCTAGAAGATCTTATCTATCTAATGAAAACAATTGTAGAGTTGTAAAGCTACACAGTATGTATAATTTGAGGCTTGAAATTTTTCATTCTATGAAATGTCCATGGTTAGATGATAATATGGTTTTGGGGGGGAACAAACCAAAAAATACCCTCAAACTCATTATTGAGTCAGAACCAATTCAAGTAAATTGCAAAGAAGGAAACTGCCTTTCTCCCACAGAGCCACTGGTGACGTCAAGTGTTAGCCTGCGTGTTAACAGCACAGCTCCCTGCAGATTGCACCACCAGAGCTCAAAACATCCTTCTTGTTGTTATGTGCCATCAAGTCACCTGCGACTCATAGTGACCCTATATAGAACAGCCCTAAATCCTGCTCTATCCTGTGACAACCTCATTGTCTCCGACACACCCACCCCGATTACCCCAGTCACTGAATCAATCCACCTCATAGAGGGTCTTCCCCTCCCGCGCTGTCCCTCCACCCTCCCAAGCATTATGTCCTCCTCCAAGGACCAGTCCCTCCTTGCAATATGTCCGAAGTATATCAGACAAAGCTTCAGAATCCTTGCCTCCAAAGAGCAGCCTGGTGTAACCTTCTCCAGGACAAACCTGTTTGTTTTCTTAGCAGTCCATGGTATATTCAATACTCTTCTCCAACACCACAGCTCAAAGGCATCAATTCTCCTTCTATCATCCCTAGTCATTGTCCAATTCTCTGACACATAGCAAGTGATTGCAAA